GAACCACCTGACCAAGGGTGTTGGAGATAGCGGGGTGCCTGACCAAGGGTGTTGGGGATAGTGGTTATCTAATGAAAACTCTTTTTCTCACGAAAAGGGAGTTTTAGGAAACCCCGCTTGAATCTTGAAGAACTCATTTCTCAGTCTTGGGAAGAAAACTAAGAAGGCAAAAGTACTCAGGGTTAATTGAAGCGAAGGCTGGAGGAGGTTTGTTGGCTGAGCAAAAAGCAGAATCAAGCATGAATTTATAGAAACCTCAGAGGATAACCCAAAGGTCGTGAGAAGAGCAAGAGACGCAGGGTCATAAGTGTCTAGAAAAACACAAGTTCTAAGAGCGGGTATACAAGCATGCGGATATTCAATCAATATTGGCGCCTGGAATTCCAGTCTGAATGTTGATTGAATGGGGCACTGTTTGGGTTAAAACTTGAACTTTGGGCTTAGAAGGGAGTTGGCCCAAAAAGAGAAGGAAAAGCCCGAAGCTCATCCCAAGCCCAGAAAGCAGAAAAGGGATTTCCTGACTAGGTGCAGATCATTTGCACCACTTGCTCACCTACCCAAGGGCCAAGTGGGATAGACCAGCCAGCTAATCAGCCCAAAAGTACTTTATAGTGGCAGTACAAGTAAATAGCTGATGAGTCATTATCCTTCAGAATTGCATTCGGGCAAGATTATTGCTACAGGAGGCCAAGTCAAAGTGTCTATAAAAGGGGAAAGAGAAATCAGAGTCAAGGACACTCAAACAAACAAATACAAGCACAAACTCTGCTCAAAGCCAGATTTGCCTTCAAAACGAAGCTGTAGTCAGCCCAAACCTTCATCCCTTTCGGGATAAACCCTTTGTAATAGCTCTGCTACCCTGTTCAACTCTTGCTGTAGTATCGATTTCTTTCTGTAAACTCACCCCCAACCCTTTTTCTAAGCTTTCAAACCTCCTGATAAACCACAAAGATAGGAAGTTGCAAGATGATCAGCTTTGCCCGACAAGGTTAAACCTTGCCCGACCCTCTTTGTTTTTGTCTTTTCATTCATTAGCGTAGCAATATGTTATATACTACAAGTTGTATCCAAGTTATTTCTAGTAATATGGCTATTAAAAGACTTTCTCAGCACTTGAATCCGATTTGAATATGTCTTCACAGTTCAAGCCAGATCTAAGTTCTAAGCCCTCAGGCATATAAGATTTGATCACTTTAAAAGTCCTTGGCCTCAAGGCATAAAAAAGAACCTGATGTGGACTTAACCCATCTACAATAAGCTTTGATAACCAGAAGTCCGAAGTTACTTGAGGCGCAAGTAATTGACCTGTCACTTAGTTTTATTGCTGTTATATTATGATTACCATATAACGTTCGAGTATGGGATGAATTCTGATGGGAAGCCTCAAGGCCTATTCAAGGCCCCACAAAGGCACCTATTTGGATTCATCCTATTTCTCGGGCGAGAACATTGAGTATCGAAAGAGTTCTGATGGGAAGCCTCAAGGCCTATTCAAGGCCCCACAAAGGCACCTATTTGGATTCATTCTGCTCTTTGGGCCTAGGTAACCAGAAGTATGATGGTTATAAGACTCATAACCAAGAAAAGGAACCTTATGTGTTCGAGTACTAAGTTAGTTATTTATGGGAAGCCTCAAGGTCTACACCTAAGGCCCCACAAAGGCACCTGTCAATAACTAACATAGTCTCTCGAATATATATAATTAAAACTCAAACATTCGTTCTACATCTGCCATGCTGAAGATGGCACTGGCACGCCCGAGCACTTAAAAGTTAATCTTGATTGTGAGCCTCAAGGCCTACACCTAAGGCCTCACAAAGGCACCTTTCAAAGTTAACTCTGTCCTTCTCTTTCAGCCTTGCCCGACAAGCCTTGCCCAATAGGCTTTGCTCGACAAGCCCGCCAGTAAAGCAGGAGCTCGACAGAAAGCATCAACCGGCGCCAACCTCTCGGAGAGCTGTGTGCTCGTCGGCCAGGAAGCATCCCTCATGGAAATTCCCGCCACGAACAGGAGCTTTGCTTCTCTCTTTGTTTGTATGCAGGACAACAAAAATAGATAGGATATAGAAGAGACCTAGACTCACTTCGGCCTTTGGCATCAGACCCTAAGAAATTAGAAAATTAGAAAAAATCTCGCATCACACCAGTGTTCAGCCTCACAACGAAGGTGCATTGGAATCACTCCAAGATTGATGTGCCTATCTCAAACACGAGCAGGAAAACCAGAACTTCTTTCACTAACACTTTACAAAGTAGCCCTTTCAATAATGTACCAAATTACTGGTGCGCTAATTTTTAAAATATATGCGCATGCATATATAATTATATATATATATATATATATATATATATATATATATATATATATATATATATATATATATATATATATATATATATATCATGTATGTAATAAAATTGGAGTATATTGTTACATTTTTTTTTTAGGAAAACTAATGAAAATGACCTGAAAACTTCGAGTTTTAACGATAAAGACAAAATAAAGGGTAAAGTGAATAGTACAAGGTTTGACTTTTTAGTGTAAAAATGTGGTTTTTCGTTAGAGTGAACAGTACCACGGGTTTTTCGTTAAAACTCCCTTTTTTTTAGTATATCGATATTTTTACACTAAGGAGAGGGAGAGTTGGGTTAAACCACACAATAGTTAACCTAATTTGGTATCGAATTCGTCATACAAGATATTCGAACCTAAGACATCTCACTTTGGTTTTTTTGTTTTATAAAGACTGGCTTTTTTGCACCCACAATTCAACGTTTTTTTTTAATTTTATTATTATAGATTTTTTTTTTAATTTTGGAATATATTAAAATAATGGGACATAAATTAACAATATCTTCTTTTGCAAAATTTTAGAAGTTTGGTATATATTAGATTTAATTAGTACATTAATTAGTAAATTAATTAAAAGTGTAGAACAGCAGTTTGATCAAATCTCTAAAAGCCTTACATGTATCAAAATGCTCCTTAAAAATTCAACCGTGATCATGATCAAATCTCTAAAAGCCTTACATGCATCAAAATCCCTAAACCCTATTGCTCCTTAAAAAGACATCGGCTTTTTTGCACCCACAATTCAACGTTTTTTTTTTTAAATATTATTATTATAGAAATTTTATTGTTTTTTTTCTTTTAAAATATATTAAATTAATGGAACATAAATTAACAATATCTTCTTTTGCAAGATTTTAGGAGTTTGGTATATATTCGATTTAATTAGTACATTAATTAGTAAATTAATTAAAAGTGTAGAACAGCAGTTTGATCAAATCTCTAAAAGCCTTACATGTATCAAAATGCTCCTTGAAAATTCGACCGTGATCGTGATTGGTACCAAAATTCAAAACTCAGTAACCCTAGATTAATTGTCTAGAATATGGCGAAGCGGTCCAATGTCCCCAATTCAGTAACCCTAGCACAGCATTAACTAATGCCGCTCAAGGCTCCTCAAATACGGCCAGTGAGGGCAAGGAGTACAGGAGCCAGCAGAGGAAAATTACTGCTCAAGGCGGCACGCCTGAAACGCAGGACCACCATAAGAGGGAAATTACTACTGATGGCACATCTTATACGCCCGACGAAGTCGAGGAGTATAGGCTACGGAGGGAAATCCGTGTTGTAGGCTGGGATGATGTTCCGGACCCCATCATGACTTTCGATAACGCTCGGTTTCCAGGTACCTATTATTATTTTTTTTGGTATTAAACAAAGTAACTTGTTATACAATATAATAAACATACATTTCCATTTGAATGTATATACATATATATATATATATATTGAATGTTTCAATTCTTGATCATCACAGAACATGTTATACAAGAATTTTCAAAAGCTGGATTTGTTCGACCTACACCAATTCAAGCTCAAGTATGGCCAATGGATTTGGAGGACCGTGACCTCATTGGTATTGCTCAACTAGGATCCGGGAAGATGCTAGGGTATCTGATCCCTGCAATTCTCCATGTAAACTCCCAGCCAAAACGATGTGAGTATTATATATGTTAGTTATCCTTAAGATAATCAAATCCTAGCTCTTTGAATCATATATTTGGTTATATATGCATCAGGAATAAAGTTTTCCATTTTATAATTTTTCTTCAGCTCGTGGTGGAGATGGCCCAATAGTATTGATTTTAGCTCCAACAACTCAACGCGCTGAACAAATCCAACAGGAGGGTGCAAAATTTGCTGCAGCTTACAACATTAAAGTCTTATCCGGTTTGTACCTGCTTAAGCATGAAAATTCTGGTCAGACTTGTGGTAGGTGGTGGTGGCGGTGAACTACATTTTACTATCTATCGCTATTGTTTTGCTACATTTTTTTTTCTGTTACAGGCATTGGTTATGGTAACATGCAATTTTGTGTAGGTGATGATTTTAGGGGATTTCTTGTTTGAGTACAGAGTTATTCTACTTATTGATTGCAATTAATATTTTGGCTCAGGAGGTGGGATTTTAATCGACACACTTAGTAGCTTGCTTGTTTTGTTAAAGAGCAAAAGTACGAACTTGAAAGGCGTTACATACCTTGTGTTGGATGGTGCTGATTGGATGCTATCAAACACGCATGAGCCTTAAATTCGAAATATATTATCTCAGGTTTGACATATTACCCTTACTTGGTTCTTCATCAGGTTTGACATGTTACCCTTAATGGAAAAGATAATTGGATTCCATTAAAGGGTTAGATGAACTCTTTAGCATTTTTAGATTCCCTTACACACACACACGTGTGTGTGTGTGTACATATGTGTCCACGTGTGTTTATATATCAAAGTTTATGTTCAGTTGAATTGTCATTGCTATCTATGGGTTTGTTGAATGCAGATCCGCTTAGACTGTCAAAAATCATTCTGGGGTGCTAGCTGGCCAGAAGAGGTTGATAAACGGGCAAAACTATTCCTTCACAAGCATGCAAAGTAATATATCTTACTATTTTCTTTTCCATCACATGTTCGTTTTTAATTGTTGTTACTGGATGAAATTGGTAGTCACATAAAGTCCTTTTAAATCTATCTTGTGATTGCAATAGTACTCTTTGCGTATTTTTTCATGTGCAATACCCAATACATGTTTGATTTTAATCTTTGGATGTACAACAGGTTCAAATAGTTTCTCCAATTCTGAAAGTGACACCTCCGGTCAACCAAATTGTTTCCGTCCTTACTGAAGATCAGAAATATAACAAGTAGGAGACATTCTAATGGTTGATCTTGTGCAGTTTGTTTGAGGTTATATATAACTCTGATTTATTTCAAATTTTCAGGTTGGTCGAGCTGCTAGGTGGTATATTGGATGGCAGCAGAATAGTTATATTCATGGATACAAAGAAAGGATGTGAATCAGGTGATCAGATCGCCCTGCAGCTTTGCACGGACGGTCAGCACGCAGTCTTGGTTCATGAAAACGAAAGTCAAGAGGAAAGGGTCCGGATTGTCTCTGAGTTTCAAGCTGGCAAGATCCCCATAATGATTGCAACAGATGTTGCCGCTCGTGATCTAGGTATCAGTAGAATTTCTTTTAGTTTATGAAAGACTCGAAAGGAACTCTTTTTCGGTTGTGCCTCAAAAGTTGCATCTATTATTACTATTTTAATTTTATTTAGAAACACATTTACATTCTTCAATCTCGTCACAGGTGAAGGCTTTATTTGATTTAAGAGTCGACATCCACCTTTCCAAAATCATGTCCTGTTAGTAACCTAGGGTTTGTTTGTTTACTGTGGGGGTTGCAGGTGTGACAACCTGGCAAATTTTCGTTGAATGCATTTATCCTGTGAAATGGCCAGAAGCCTTGTTTCTAATCATCTGTTTCATGCTTAATTTGCAGATCTGAAGGATGTGAAATATGTTATCAATTACGACTTTCCGGGATCCCTTGATGATTATGTTTACCACATTGACTGCTTTGGAAGTGCTGCAGCAAAAGGAACAGCATACACATTCTTTACAACTGCTAATGCTGGATGCGCAAAGGGACTTACCATCTTACTCAAGAAAGCTGGACAGAATGTTAGTTCTGAATTGGAACAACTGGGGCGTGATGTAACATATCCAGGTCAGTAATTACAAACACTAGAGTAAATAATGTTGTACACACATTGTCATATACACACGTGATGGGTAAATTATTCAAATTCAGGTTCAGTTATGGTTAATGTGGTATCCGTCCTGAACCCTTACCCGAAATGAAACCGTTTTCATTTTTTAATAAAAGAATACAAACATTTATTATATGGAGAACTGTTTACCAATAATCATGTATTATTAAATTTGGAAGTCCATGCTGGTAATTATATGCATTATATCATTATTAGTATAAATTATATGCTTATCAATTATCAGTAATTATTTTCTTGGTAATAAATATTTAATAATTTTTGCTATATGCATTATATCAATTGTATTAGTAGTAGTAGTCTATTTAATCTCATTTTTATTTAAAATCCTCTATCTAATTAGTATATAATAAATATAAAAATACCATAATGGATAAAACTGTTACCCAATGAAAAATCCGTCATCTATGGATTGGGTTACGCAAAAATCCATTCAGAGATTCTATGATTTTGAGTTCAGAGAAAATAAATATAAGGATAACACATCAAAATCCAATCCGCACGTCCTGTCCTACGCGCACCCTGTAGACTAGATGCTTTCATGTGATTTCCTAGGGTATTAAATAAATTTTGTTGCTTTGATCTGACACTTCTCTTGCCACCATTCTTCATTTAAGCCTAAAACTTGTTTAGCTGCCCTACTCCAAATAGTGATGGTTGGAAGTACTTTAGAAATTCATTTCTCTTTTGGATTTATGATATGGGTATGAATTGATGTCTTCCAGGAACCTACATACCTCGGACGTGGCGCTCGGAGGCTAACAACAAAATGGTATATGTGAATTTGTGTGCGCGCTCTACTTGGCTGCATCTTATTACTTTACTGTGCAATTGCATTTAAGAAGATTAAATAATGGCAAGCACCATCTGTGTGAATACAAAGTGTACTACACATTTGCATTTGCATGTAGGACCATAAAATAAGGTCTATATGTTGCTAACTTTGTTCCGCTTGCCTTTATTTAAACAGATTGGATATGGTCATTTCTCTCCTATGTATCTACCTTACCCCAATACTGAAAAACATGCACGTTACGCCCTGGAGGAAATCAGGAAAATAAAGGTTCTAATCTGAATTTGTAATAGCTGCTGCTCTATTTCTTACGTTAGCATGTTCTGTTTTACGAGTAATCTTTAATAGCACACTTGTTTTAATATAATATTCTGCATGGCTTTCTTTTTTAGGGGCTCCAAGCGCATTTTGTGAGATTGGTGGAGGCATACGAATTCTCTACCTTGTGTTTTTTTGTTAGTATGACTTATCTTACTTTTGAGGCCGCTGACCCCGCAACTTACGAAAAGAAGCTTTACCGAGCAATAGTTGTTAAGGCGAGTGGCAAAAAGGATTTGATGTTGTTTGGTATGGTCAATTATGATGGGCGTTTGACAAAAATGCATGACATCAGAGAGGGAGTCGAATATCCAAGTAAGTATCAGCTGTCTGAAGCGCTTAAAATTCAGAGAACTTTCAAATTAGTGACATCTGGGGTTCTTAATTAATTATCATGCATTTCATTTGTCAATCTATGGTATCTGGCAAGAAGACGATGAGGACGATGAAGACAATGAAGACGACAATGAAGATGACGATGAAGACGACAATGAAGATGACGATGAAGACGGCAATGAATGATGGGGCACTAGTCTCATTGACAATAAGAGGTAAATTTGATGTTTTATTATGTTTGCGATTTTATTTTTGAAAGTTTATAATAAAGAAGGAGAAAACTTATCTGCAATGATGTATATATATCATAAATTTAATGATTTGCAGGCAACTGTTATTGCAATGGTTAAGAGAATGGAAGGAGCCGGCCGGGGCGGGGCTACTGCAGGCTAGGGCAACCCTAACATGAATGTGGAGATTGATTAGGCTTGTTTTGGAGACCGTAAATTATGTAATATGTGGTTGTGTTTGGATATGAGAGTAGGAGAACCCAATGACTATGTATTAGACTTCAGTAGACCTAAACTAACTAATTTCGACGTTGTTTGAACAACAGTTTTGATACTACTGGGTGTCAATGGTTGCTTTGTTTGCTATGTCACGTTTACACAAAGGTAATCTGAATCAAAACGTGGAATTGAATTTGGATTCGGAATAGTTAATGTCTATCAAACGTTGAGAATAAAAAAGTTGGCATGACTAACCCAAATTTTAGAATTCGTCTCCAAAATTTGAAGGAATTGGATTTCCTATGTTTAGGCAGTATTTGAATTCCTGGTTTTTTGGAGAATCAAAATGGATTTTTTTTTTCCCTAAAATCATTTAGAAATTGAACTCCTGCATTTATGCATTTAATATCCCATTATGAAATTTAAAGAAATTCAAATAATATTTTTATAATATAACAATTACTTAAAAATCAATAATATAATAATATTATTCTATATATAGTTATACTAAAAAATAATTACCCACGTAATAATCAATTATATAATAATATACTCTTAAAAAATCAATAATATAGTAATACTGTTCTTCATATAGTTATACTAAAAAATAATGTACCCGCGTAATAATTAATATATTTTAAGAAATTACTATAGATATATTTTAAAACATAAAACAAATAAATTAAAATATGGGTACAAATTAAATTAAAAAAAATATGGGTACATAATAGAATTAAAAATTATGAATAAAAATTAAAAACTAAAAAGAATTTTGATGCAAATTTAAAAAATGGGTACAAATCAAAAACTGAAATATATGAAAAATAATAAAAAGATATATTCGGTAAAAGTTGATATTTTTTTTTTTTTTAAATTGACATATAATGACATTTAAGTAATTTAATATGCAAATAATGACATTGATAAAAGTCAAAGGAAAACTAAAAAAGTAATAAGGTTTCAATTAATGAGAAAAAAAATTATATGTGATCGGAACATAATTTATCCTTTCTAAAATTTCAAGATTACTCTTTTGCATTAACTCAACGCACCCAACTGTTGCCCAGTTTAATATGAAGTTTAAAAACAATTAAAACAAAACTAAAAATAAATAAAATTTAAGTGTGTTTAATATTTAATGAATAGAGGCATTTACATTTTTTTCTTCATATTAATTAGTATATAGAACTTAAAAAATTAATACATAAAATAAAATTTATTTCAACTAAGGGCATTTAGTACTTATATTGATTATCATTCCGGGTTAATTAGTAAACAGTGTTTATGGAATCTATACCAATTCTCTTTCGATTCCTTAAGGTTTTACTAAACAACCTCAACATGAATCCAATTTTAACCCTCCATCATGATCTCCACCAGTTCACCACCCCATCTTGAACTTGAAGAAGCTCCAACGTGCCTATGCCTATCTCGGCCACCTCGATTACTCCATCCCATTATCCACATCCGCCGTCGAATCCAATAACATCTATTTGCATTATCCCCGCTAACAAAAATATCTTTTACTTGATAAATTGCAAAAAAATATGTTAATTTTTAAGTATAGAAATTACTTTTGGAACATGCTAGGGCTGATGAATGCGTTGCTGTTCGTTCAAGAAGGCGTAATCCTGCAGAATTTGCATTATGGAAGGTCTGAGAACTAAACCCACACTGCTTGACTAATTACCACATCTTTCATACAGTCTTTGTTAATATTTTTTCCTCCTTCAAATTTCTGATATATTTGGAAATTAATATTGGCAACGCCACAAACTAAGAACAAGTAAAGCCAAAACATTTGCATCTATTAATTAAAGATAGACGCAAAAAATGAAGATTTCCACACCTAAAAGTAAGGAGGGATGTTGTAATTGCGCCTAAAAGAGGCGTTGCTATTAATGAATAAGAGCGAATGAGTACATATTTCGGCCTCTAATAGTTATTCTGCCACGTATGCATGGGTAAAAATTTAAACTTGTGATGATGTTCCAAACCCCAATCAGGACTTTCGATGACATTCGGTTTTTGGTTACCTATTTTTTATCTTTTCTTGATATATATTGATATATATATATATATACTGAAATTTTCGTTTCTCTTGATCATCACAGAAAATGTTATACAAGAATTTTCAAAAGCTGGATTTGTTAGGCCTACACCAATTCAAGCTCAAGTATGGTCAATGGATTTGGAGGACCGTGACCTCATTAATTAGTATTGCTCAACCAGGATCCGGGAAGAAGCTAGCGTATCTGATGCATGCAATTGTCCATGTAAACTCCCAGCCAAAACGATGTGATGAGTATTATATACGTTAGTATGTTTTCCTCCTCCAAATTTCTGATATATTTGGAAATTAATGTTGGCAGTCTGCAAAGCCTGGAGAGCGAAGTTGGCCGAGTCTTTGGGGATCGGGAAGACTTTGGCACATTGAGTGCAGTTCCATGAATACTGATATCTATACAAGGGTTAGATATCCATGGGGGTTGCACTGACTTGATTTTGCTGCACCAGAAATACTGGATTGCCCAAGGTCCTGCTCCCTGCCTGAACTCTTGCGGTTACTGGTTGCATAACTTATGTACGTTACAGTTTTATAACAGATTTTCTGGTAGATTGCTGAGAGGTACACTCCACTGGGTTTGATCACTACTTGTTAAACGAACACTATCGATCTCCTCTCAATCGTTTGATTGATGAACGAAAGGACTATCGATCTTCTTCATGATTAAACATTCCCGCAGCTGAAAATTGCATCATATGCTCTTTATACATTTATCAGGTACCAAGCTTAAATTCATGCAAAATTGTGAAATCGAGAGATATGTGAATTTACGATCATGCCATGTCAATAAAATAAATCACACCAACCACGTCACATGTTAAAGTGGTCCCAAGCCACATATTAGGCCTTGCCAAGTGAATCGTGGTGTGAATGCTTATGGAAGTGGATTGAGTCTACGCGGAGCTAAGGTTATGATTATGAAAGACTTTGTACTGCTTGAGAGCACAAAAAATCCAAGCCTATAATATACGGTTTCACGTGAAAAAGTGTGAGAGAGAACATACCAAGCTTTCCATTTTCATTACAAACCAAATAGGAAACTTACGAAACGAGCAAAACCCAAAGCTGAGCTATCTATAGAATCACGTTGAAACATAGAGCCGCACGCTTCATTAATGAGGAGAGAAGGAACCCTTTCCTTCCAAGTTTACACAAGAAAGCAAGAAGGAGGCATATTCTCTGCCCTCCCACTTCCCATGCCCTCCTGTTTGTGTGGTCACGGTTAAGCCACGTCAACATTTTATATTACTATTCATTTTTATCTTATTATTTTTATAAAAAAATAATATAAAATGTTGATGTGGCTTAACCGTGACCACACAAAACAGGAGGGCACGGGAAGGCAGAGAATCTGCCTCCAAGCAAGAAAGGAAAACAAGGGGGAGCATTGCCAAAAGGAAGTATGTGAAAACTGATGCTGGAAGAAGATGCAATGGGCAATGTGTTCAACCTGGGCTTCATGAGTCTAGTAACGTTCTTCAACGTTACACCAAAGAAGAAAACTATAGCTGCACCCATGGAAAGGAGAAAAGAAGACTTAGTAAAAATAGGAATAAATAAGGAAACCAAGGGATTCTATAACGGCATGCATACATATATATTTATCATGTATGTAATATAATTAGAGTACATTGTTACGTTTAAAATATCGATTGTTTTTTTTTAACATCGGCTTTTAACAAACGATATTATCTACACTAAGGGAGAGGGTGTGGGTTAGCCTCACAATGTGGTAGTAATAACGTGGTTCAAATTAGTCTTTTACGATAATCGAACCTAAGACCTCTCACTTATAAGTGAAGAGGAATAACACTAGACCGTAATAATAAATGGCTTTTATATATTATTATTATAGAAATTTTATTGTTTTTTTTTAAATATATTGAATTAATGAGACATAAATTAACTATATCTTCTTTTGCAAGACTTTAGGAGTTTGGTATATATTGGATTTAATTAGTAAATTAATTAGAATAACAATTTGTGTAACTTGAAATTAATTAAAAGTGTAGAAAAGCAGTTTGATCAAAACTCTAAAAGCCTTGCGTGTATCAAACTGCTCCTTAAAAATTCGACCATGATCGTGATTGGTACCAAAATTCAAGATTCCGTAACCCTAGATTAACTATCTCGAATATGGCGAAGCGCTCGACTGACCCCAATTCAGTAACCCTAGCACAACATTATGGTGCTGATGCTGC